CACTTTAGGCAGCTCCCATAAATAAAAATGGTTGCGCACCAAAACCACATTTCTCAGTATTATCTGAAGCAGGCTGGTGGCGGTCAGTACTATATTGGCAGTACATATCAGAAAGGCCATGGTATTGGCTCCTGGCTCGGCGGTCTATTTCGCTCGGTTCTCCCTGTTCTAAAAAGCGGTGCAGTTGCCGTTGGCAGAGAGGCGGCCCGGGCAGGCAGTCATATTCTCGCAGACGTAGCTAGCGGTGATAATTTTAAAGAAAGCGCCATGCGACACGGTGGCGAAGCAGTTCAAAATCTTAAGCGGAGGGCGGCCAGCACCATGAGTGGGTCTGGGGCTATAAAAAGACGCGGGGTAGTGAGGAAGGTTCATTCTAACTCCAAACCGCGCCAGAAGAGGACCTCTCCTCCCGACTACTTTTCTTAATGGCTTTCATGCACGCATCATCTGCTGAGGCTTTGCCCTCAGATCTAGACCTGTGGGTTGACAACGTCACTCAAACAGGCGAAGAAAAAAGTCAGGATCATGAGTTTTACCCGACTTCAAGCAGCCTTGATACAGGCACAGTAGAAATTGAGGTGCCAGGAGTGGGTCATGTCTATCCCGACCCCGCTCTCTTTCTCTTGTACACAAAAGAACAAATTGTAAACGGTGATGGATCTCCCATTACGGCGGCCGATAACAGTGATGCAACATTAGTTAACTACGGTGCACACGCCCAGTGGTCACAAATAGACGTAAGTCTTAATGGAACTGTCATTTCACAGTCCAGCATGACTTACCCCTATAGGGCCTACATAGAGGCGAAACTTAATTATGATAAAAGTGCGAAAAACACTCATCTCCAGCAACGCCTATGGTACGAGGACACAGCAGGTCACTTTGACTCCTTAGATGGAGCCCAAAATTTGGGCCTTGCATGGCGTCGCTCGCGCACTGCAAACAGTAAGATCTTTGAAACACTGGGCCCACTTCACATCGACATTTCTAACTCCAATCGGCTCCTTCTCAATAACTGCACACTGCGAATAAAACTGACAAGAAACCGTGACGCTTTCACGCTCATGTCGACAAAAGGGACAGAGAAAATTAAACTATTGGAAGTGAAACTTATTGTTCGCAAAGTCACTATCTCTCCCTCAGTTCTCTTGGGCCACGCACAGGCGCTCGAAAAGGCTCCAGCAAAATATCCCCTGAATCGTGTGGATATTAAAACGGTGACGATAACACAAGGCCTCCGCGACAAGAATATAGACAATCTCTTTATGAACCAATTGCCACAAAGAATCATCATATGTTTAGTTGACAATAAGGCTTTCAACGGAGATTATAAACTTAATCCGTTTAATTTCCAACACTTTAATCTAAACTACCTGCAACTTCAGGTTGACGGTGCGCCTGTCCCGTCACAACCACTGACACCTGATTTCCCGGGTGAGCTGTACACGGAGGCTTACAACACACTCTTTAGTGGTACAGGCATTCACTGGAAAGACGAGGGAAACAATATAAGTTGGAACGATTACGCTAAAGGCAACACTATTTTCGCTTTTGATCTCTCTCCTGATTTATCAGCGAGTAAGCCTCACTGGAACCTGCAGAGACACGGAACACTCCGACTTGATCTCCGTTTCGCAGCCCCTCTTCCTAACCCCATTAATGTGATTTGTTACGCTGAGTTTGAGAATTTGCTACAGATTGATAGGAACAGAAACGTCATCATTGACTACAACGTCTAAATGGACGGACTCACTCTCGACACGCTTATGAGAAGAGATAAACATGTCTCTCCTCTGTTTGTCGGCGTGTTTGCAGCTGACACTCTGCCGCGCAGACTTAACAATTATCCTGCCCTACTCATTTGCAATACAGACCCCATTTCAAAACCAGGACAACACTGGATAGCTTTTTTCATTGATAAAAATGGCGTGGGTGAATACTGGGACTCCTATGGTTTTCCGCCACTTGTTGCGCACCACAAGAGATTTCTTAATAGACTCTGCAAAA